TTTAGGAAACAAAACTTCAAGAACACGGCCACACAGCCCGGAAGACCCACACCAGCCATCGTATGCCGGCCGTGAAAGCCTTCGACAATACCTCATTATCTTTCTCTGAAGCTGCTCTGGTTTGTTTCAACCCTGAAACTGTGGTCAGAAATGGACACAAATACGTTGTGCAATCAACTTTTTCATGCTTCAGTCCAAGCCTGCAAAAAGCATGTTGCTGCTTTAAGAAATCCATTCTTTAAGGTTACTGCCACTCTTAATGAAGCAGCCCTGTTTTTAGGCTCCTGCAGGAGTCTGGACGAGAGGGGATCGCGTTTTGCACAGCGCCAGAGCCCTGCTTCCACATCATGTTCAAAGCATGCACAGCCCTGCTGGTGCCGTCTGTAGATCTGAGACCCATTTCCTCCCCCTCTTCTAAGCCATTAATAGAAATATTGAAGAACAGGGGCCCCAGGATGGACCTTGTGGCACCCACTTGATCTGGCACAGCCGAGAGGTGTTCTTGGTGTATGAGCCAGCTCTGTATCCACTGAATTGTTGTGCCATTCCAATCACTTAACTCAGGTACTCTGTCAGCGCATCTCACAGCTAGCTAAGTTTGGTTAGTGTTAATCTGGATTAATTTTGGGGGTTCTGTGTGTTGCTGTTTGGTTAGTTTATGATTCAGCGTATGGTGTGAACACAGAAAAACTGGTTAATTCAGAATCCAGTTTAATTTTGGGGGTGTTGTGTGAATCCAGACACGAGATATGAAACTGGGTGTGTTAATAGGTGGGTGGCCCCTGTATGGAGCGGGAGGGAGAGAGAGAGAGACCCTCCAGGAAGTCCCCCATGTCTGTGCTGGCTCCTCGGGTGGGTGGGACTGACACAGGCCGATCCGATGCCAGGAAAGCGGGCAAGATGGCGGCAGCACGGGCATCAAGCAGGGGCGTGCCAGATCTTTGGCAAGTGGATGTATGGCGGTCTTGATCAGGCACATGAACGTACCTGGCAGAAGTCAGACATGGAGCAGATTCCGCGCTTTAATTGTGAAGGGGGCAGCCTTTGTACCCCTCCGGGAAGGTCACCCTTGCCAGGAAAAGATACTTCTTGGAATTGCACAGCGGTTGGGACCATAATCCTCCTGCCACAATAGTTTATTCCTGAATTCCATTCATTTTAAATGCACATCCAGGCTGTCTGCACCTGGCACCATCCTGAATCAGTCTTTTTGTGCAGCACGTAGCAGGCCGGTCGGGGCCACAGCTGAGTTTCAACCAAGGGGGCCCGTTAGGAGGAGCCTGGAAAAGGGAAGGAGAGGTCAGAAATGGTGCTCCTTGTACGGATGGGAAAGAGGCTTCTCCGACCAGGGGAAGGGCCTTCCCGGCCCCTCCCTCCAGAGGCACCCTTTCCCCTTTCCTGCTGCATTGACGCCATCCAAGAACTGGAGGGGCCCATCCTGCTTTGCTCTGCATCAGTGATTCTCAACCTTCGTGACTTTAAGATGGCTGGGGAATTCTGGGAGTTGAAGTCCACCCATCTTAAAGTCGCCAAGCTCGAGAACCACTGCTCTGCGTGGAGACAGCCCAGCCTCTGTGTTCATGACCTTCTCCTTCTGGGCAAGGCTTAAGGGCAAGTGGAACCTGCCAGGCCTGAGGCTGCAGGTGGGCCGGCCCCACTCCTGGGATTTCTCTGAGCACTGGGGGCAACGTGGCAAAGAGAGCCGGAGCCTCCTTCTGTTGCTTGCCAGGGGGCAGATCCCAGAGCAGAAACTGGGAGGGGAGGACGGGCTTGTAAAGGAATGGTGCTGGCAGTGGGGGACCATCCCTTTCGCCATTTCTCTTCTTTGCACATGCTCATTTGCCCGCAGCTCTAGAGGTGTGAGCAAAGGTGGGAAGTTGCAGGAACGTCCTCCACACATTGCCTCCCCCCCCGTGCCCCCCCCCCCCGGGGGC